AAAATTTTTTGAATAACTCTATGGATTAAAAATTCGTTGAAGAACAGAAAAGAAAAGTTGCTAGAAGAACTAAGCTTTCAAAAGAAAAAAGGATAGATCTGTGTTAAAACTATTACATGTTTTCTTCACTATTTATAGGCTTATTATCTATAATTTTGAATCAGCGATTACCGTGTGAGTTTTTTCCTCATTACTTTTTTTTTTTTTTTTTTCGTTTTTTGACGATTCATTGTCGTGTTAAAAAAAAATGTCTTCTTTTGTTGACAGAAAAAATTTTCTTTTTTTCCAAACTTTAAAGTATGAAGTAAAGGAAGACAGTCTATTTCTACGCTAAGGAAAAGTTACTTTTTCTAAATGCATAAAACCTAATTTTAACTGCATATTACTCTTTTGTTTGGTGTCCCTTACAAACTTCAGAGCAATACTTTTTAAAAAGACCAAAAAAACCGCTGATCCAATTTGATTATTTCAAGAAAGAAAAAAGTATATGACAATATTTACGCCAATATATGCTTTTTAAACCATTTGGCAGTACTGTTGGCTTCAGATCTTCACTTATTTCCTCCCCTCTATATTTTATTTTGGCCTTTTTTTTTTCTGAAAATACATTTACTTTTGTCTTTTATATTTTTGATTCATCTTCTTTAACTCCACACTCAGCAATCGTCTTTTTGACAAAATGGTTTTTTTTTGTCTGTTCACTGGCTACTATTTTTAGAGTCAAATAAACATTACAATACTAATCATATGCAAAAGAAAAAAGCCGCAAAGAAAATGGTTTAAGATAAAGGAAAAAATGAATAGTTTATTCTGACGCATCAGTATCAGGACGTGGCATAAAAGGACAGGTAATGGGCCATCGTAAAAACTAAAACTCCTGTAAACAGATAAGTTTAGAAGGCCAATTTTTTTTTCCTTCAAACAGTATGCAAGAGAAAAATAAAGAATAACATAGTTTAAAAGTAAATAAAGAACGGTATACAAACAGTTTTTTTAATTGGTATTGAAAAATTTTGTCTAATAACGTAATTGACCTAAGCACTAAAACCTTAATTGTTTACCTTCTTCCACGCACATTGTATCAAAGAAAAGCAGGAAAAAAACACTAAGTTTCTTATGTTAGTTTAATTGGAATTGTAAATTTAAAACATAAGAAAAACCATCACTTTGAGCTTGTTCTTCTTCTGTCCTAACTTTTTTTAATCAGCGGAACATCCTTATCTGCGGTAAAACTATTATTTTGAGACAATAATATTCCGCTTAGAAATGTTCTACATCCCTACCAAAATTAGTAACACTTTTTTCAAAAGATCCTCTCCATGTTGCAGCCTCCTTTTGTTCTTTGAAAATATTTGTCCTGGTGATTTTTAAAAAAATAAAAGCAGAGGAATCTGCAGATGCCACTGAAAGATTTTGTCTAACCCATCTGCGATAGCTTCAGACTGTTTATGAACTTTTTGCTGACATCATAACGACTAGTGCTGATTCCTGTCGGCGTGTTATGTAAAGCGTAGCGATTGCTGTTCTGTAACTGTGCGATATTGGACCCAGTTTTCCTGGAGAGCCACCTCCACTTTTATTAAAACTCTGCTATAACGACAATAGTTAACGTTCCTTTGCCCGTATTTGAATATGGTTTGAAAATTTACTTTTTCAGTGGCTTTTACAACTGCTGGGAGTAGGTCTGGATGAAGCAATTCAGTAAGGGAGTTCCTTAGAAACGCTTGGAAATTTGTAGTTAAATAGCTTTCTCTTCTCAGAAATCTTTTGAAAATAAAGCCGTCAGAAGAGTAATAAAAAATTAAGCCTCCACAGATGACTTAGAACGTTATTGCAGATATTAATAAGTATTCTTTTTGAGGTAAGTACTATAAGGCTTCAAACGTGCGAATATTCGTGGATTCTTTGTGGTGTTGGGCACGAGTCTTACAAAATCGCCGTTTTTATGGTTCACGGGTGATTTGCTATCACTAATTCAACTATGAATTTTGCCTAGTGCGGGCACCGTTAATAACATTTGACGAATTAAGAATGATGTAAAAAATTTAGGACAGTTCTGCATCCATTTAATTTTTGAACACTTTGTTAATTCTCCTCTCAGTATACTGGGCATCCTACGCTTTGAAATTCAGATGAACAGTATAGGGAGTCGAACGAGCCAAATAGAAGAGCGGTGAAACACCACGAATGAAATAAGTAATCAATTTGAAATATATATTTGGGTGTTTCAAAAAACAAAAAAACTTTCACCGCCAACTTTTTTTCACCAAGTACAATAGATCAATTACATCTGTTTACACAGCTAGAACGCTTTGATTATATTGGTATTTGGTTAAAAACGCGAAAACGGTTAGTAGGAAGGTGGCACTATGAGTGAATATGAAGCTTCCCGATTTTCAGAATTACTGTTTTGAAACGCAGTTACTAAAGATTGAATTATTGCCTTTAGACTGTCGGAAGGCTAGACAAAAGTGCACTAAAAAAATCAGAAACAACCAAACATCAAGCAGACGGGAGACTGCATATACAAAAAGTGAAGGTAGATTGACAGTAGAGAGCACATTCAGGGGTGGGTACGCTTAACTGCCAACTCTGGAGGAATTTGGCTTTTACGAATTCCACAAACCTGTAATTTGCGATAAGGAATAACTGCATGCAATTAACCTGTAACCGTATAATCTTATGCAGAATGAACATTACCGATAGTTGATGCAAAGAGAAAAAACAGAGGTTCCTGAATTCTAAAAGTTAGAAAAAACTTGAAATTGGTATGTGCACATGATTTTCAAGCATCCGAGGTCGCAGAAAATGTTTTAATACAGTGGAAAACAGCTAAAGCCTATCCCACGATGGAAATTGAACAAAGTGAAAAACTGGAATTTAATTTTTCCTGAGACCACTAATTTTTTGGCAGTACCGAAAGGAGTCGAGTTCACAAGAAAATTGTTACTGCTAATAAAATAAGACTTTTTGTATAGAAGCTGCGCTGGGGGAAATTGGGCAGTGCCTTGTTGAGCAAGTCCAAAATGGACAAAAAATTAAAAACTGCAGTAAACGTTTTTTTACTTTGGCCCCCTCAGAAGTATGACTCCAAAAACAAGCAGCTTTACACAGCAGTCGTGTAGCGTTGAGAATTCGGCGAAACACTCCAATACCATTCCTTTTTGCTACCAATGCATGCTTATACTGAAGAACCTGCTCGGACACTTGATTTTCTTTTCTTGTTATCGGTCTCGCAGATTAATACTAATGCTGTTGTTTTCAGGGGAGTCACTTTAATTTCACCCTCAGATCCTGTTGATACGATGCACTAGTATTCCGATATCGGCCCCGAAGGCAGGTAAAGAAGTTCTGGCTTTCTTTCACTTTGAAACTCCCATTTTCCTTGTTGGTTTTAATGAAACACAGCCACATTTATTTTAATTAGAATTCGATTAGAATTTGACTGGCTTGAAAAAAAGAGTGGGACTATTAAACTGAAAGAGCTTTGAAGTTCCTATGCTTTTCACTGATTTTACTTAAATTTTATGTAGATAATTTTGAAGGTAGCTAAAATTGCAGGTACAACAAAGAAACATTTTGTGTATCGTCTGGGAACCCATTATATAAACAAACCCGACTGATTTTTCGTTTTCGCAAACGGACAGTTCTTCATGAATTGTTTCCACATCTTTGTTCGCTAGAAATGAATTTCCGGACTTGTCTTTTTATGTTTCACGCGTATGGGGGGGTTTTCCAAGTATGTCGTTCTTTCACACGTATGTTTTGTGCTG